CTCAGAGCCAGACAAGGGGTATGCAGGTTATTTTTCAACTTTCAAAGTTGAGGAAGCAGAGAGCCAAAGAAGCCCTACCCATCCTAGGCTCCCTCTCCCTCTCCCTTCCTTTCTGAAATCAATAAAAATAATAACAAAGTAAAATTGTTTTTAGAAAAAGTTCAGTTCTATTATTTTTCAATCACAAGTTGTTATATAAGAAGTATTTGCATGTCATCTATATGCCAAGCACTTTGGTAGGCACTTTGAAGAGATGTAGAGACAAACACCACTGCTCCCCCAGGGTGTGTGGCCTTGTTGGCATGAACATGATGCTGAAACCACTTCAAGAGCTTAACTTAAATCTGACATTGAAATGATAAGATTATATAAATTAACTTAGAATTGTATTCCAAAACATAGGTTATTTGGGGAAGGGGGGGAATTATGTGGGAAACAAGTTATACAATTTTCTCTCTTGTAGTTCTTCTCTATATATGGTAAAGACCCAAAAGGAGAATCAGATATTTCTCAAACTTATACAACCGTGAAATCTTCTTGTCAATAAGCATTTCAGAGGCTCCCAGTTCAGTTGAATGAGTTTCAGGAAACCTGGCATAAACTACTCTGATAGAGAGCACATAGGCAGAGAACAGCTGAAAGATCATGGAAAAATCATCCTAAAAGAATAAGTCAAATGTCCCAAGGAAGTCCTCAACCGAGAGAGTCCGAGGATCACTCTAAACTCAATCTTGCTTAATCATAAGGAGATCTGTGCAGATAAAAGGAACAAGAAATAACACATAACTAGTATGATTGGGTGTGCCCTGTGCCAAACAATTCTAGAAAGACATTATCAGCAGCAGCATGCGTATTATTGTACAGATGTAAAAACTGAGAAAACTAAGTCCCAAAGAAGTTGATTCATTTCTTAATGTCACAGTGGAAGGAGCTGGACTGAGCCCTAACTCAAAGATCTGAGTTCTTTCACATTCTCATCACGCATAAAGTAAAATCTCAGCTTTACAGCCATACAACCTGTACAACAGCCATGATGGTGGTTTTCAAATGTGGCTCCTAAGCAAACTCTCAGAAAAAACTCTATGTGTAGCATGAAAGATTTAGTTTTACCATATGCTTTGGAAGGGCATCTCTGAAGTATGTTTCTACCCAGCAGTCATGAACTATGTTTCTACTCAATCATCATGAACTCGTGTAATGGCTACCACAGGCAAAACTTCTCAAATAAGTGAAAACTTGTAAAGGTAGATGGTAACGTTTTAAAATTAAAGTCAGTAACACAGAATTATCTAAAATAGGGGTGTCGAACTCAATCAGAGAAGGGGCCAAAATCTAAAATCCAGCCTAAATCGCGGGCCGAATGGTTTACTGAACAGTCATAAACTGTCATTGTGATGGAAACGCAGCGGAGTGCAGTGATGACAGCGCGGTGCGGGCCACATTGCAAGGCCTGGCGGGACGGATTTGGCCCTCGGGCCTTGTGTTTGACACATGTGATCTAAAAGTTAAAAATGAACCAGATGATGCCCAGGATCATGAAGTAAGAATCATAAATTCTCAAGGTACAATTTGCTAAAGAAAGGACCCACTTGGACAAAATTTAGTAATTCTGCTGTGGCTATTTATCAATGACACAAAATAGTGAAGCCATAGGGAATGTTCAATGCAGGAAGCCACTGCTTGCCAATACTATCATGAGAGTGCACCAAGGGATGCAGAAGGCCAATGGACCCTGAGCGTTTGCAGGGCTGACATTAAGCACTGATTGTTGGTGTTGAGAGAGTGGTGGCTCGAAGCAATCTCCTGACCTGATAGGCTCCAAGTAAATGTTTACTGGACCTTACTGATCTTTACTGACCTTAGAGATAGTCGGTCTGCTACCTGTTTTTCGTGCTTTACTGAGGGCAAGATATGTACCTAAAACTGAATAAAAGCAGACGGGACCTAGTTTTGGTGTGTCTCTTCAAGAAAGAGGCTCCACATGACCCCAATGCCTTCTAAATTCATATTTCTTGTATTTTCATTTGTGCGTCAGCCCCTCTTTCAGAACCTGAACCCCACCTCGAAGGTAATGGCAGTTCAACCTGCCACCACTCTCCTACCAGAGATTGTAATAGAAAAGTCAGCTAAGTTGACTTTGTGTAGAAAAAATAAAAACATAGGATTCCTGAAATAGATTCATTCACATAAACAACAAACCTATGTTTTTTTATAAGGGGAATCTGTATGTTACTTGTTACACATCTTGAAAAACTGTTACCAAGACCAAGCCCTGTGTCCTCTCTATAGTATAGCACTTCGCAATGGCAGGCATGCGATTTGGAACTCCCTACTCTCCCACTTACAAGAGTTGGGACTCTGGGCTAAAAATTTCAACCTCCAACCAAATTATTGTAGGTGGTAAGAATCCCTTTTGCAGGTTGGAGAACTGAACAATTAAGGTTCTCTGAATTTAAGGTCTCATGTTGTTTCTTTAAACTCTCTGAAAACATTCAAAAAATTAAATGTGATACATGTCAATTCTTGTATTTGGTCACATAATTAATCACTTTTCCCTAGTCCTTTACTCATGAAATCTTTCTTATTCTAGAAGGGCATGCTGAAGAAGTCCTGAAACACGCTGGGTTGGCCATGAGTTATAAGTGGAGAAAGAAACTCTAACAGGCAATTGAAGGCTGCCAATGGAAACCACATATTAAGAAATGGACATCGTCACAGCAGTCCTCCCACCCATTCATTGCCTTCCACAGCTCCTGTGACTTCGTTGTTTTGTAGACTCAAGCAGGTAGAGGTGATATAATGGGGGTGCCCATGAGGACAGCCAGGCCAGATTACTGTCAGTTTTATGCGCACCTTCTGTGCAGACTAGTTGTGATGCTGCCAATCTAGTTACTGTATTTTCAAGATCTCCCAGAGAACAGAGATTAATGAAAGCATATAGGAACCAGGCCAGTGAAATGGCCCAGAGTAGGACAGTGGCAAACCAGAGAACAAGTGTACCAGTTGAAGTGGATACCTGCTATTTAACCCCTGCAAGTTGAAGACGTACAGGAAAATAAGCCACTGTAGACATATTTTCCTTTAAAACAAACAAACAAACAAATAAAAACAGCTAGAAATCCCTGCATATTTTAAAATATTTATCCCTAATTCAATCTTTAAAATGTTGTTTGCCAATAAAAACTAGAATATGAGTTGCCAGTTTCCTGTTGAGGGTTATCTGTGACTGCTAAAACAGTTCTGGACTACAGTTAACTGTACAGACTGGGCACCAGGCCTTGCCCTAGTGACCTTGGTATGCCATGGCAATTAGGTATAAATCACAGGTATATGATTTCAGCAATTAGTTATAAACCACAAATATGGGACAAAAATATTCCTTATAGTTTACTGGAAATAGCATTTTAAAGAGCAGATAATTCTTTCAGAGATACATAACACTTAAGATATAACTAGAAACATTTTTTTAACCTTTACTCTTGCCAGTCATACCTTGTTCTGATTTTATTTTAAATAGAGATCACAATTCCAATATACTTTTTTCTTTTCCATTTACTCTTCTTTTTCCCTTCCCCAAGCTTCCCTTCATTTGAGATGGAAGATTATAGGACTTTTATGGAGATGACACAAACTAAAGTATGTAATGTCTAAAACAATGGCCAGCACAAAGTGAGAACTCAAAAACTGTAAGTGCTTGCTATTTCTATGAATATCATTGAGCAGTCAAAGTCCTCTACAGGGCTGGTCTATAGCCTGTGGAAAGCTAGTGTTAACTTTTAAAACCAAACTGTTACATAAAATTTCTGCTCACAGAACCACTCTGTACCTATTCGAGTTAGCAACCTGTTTCTTAAATTAATCCCAGTTCAGCTCCTCTGAGACAGCTGAGAATCTTTTGCACATCAGAACACAGATAAAGAAAGAGAGGTCTCTGTAGAGCATTTTGCAACAAAGGAGATAAGGGCCTCTGCCTCTCTTTTTCCCTTAGGAGACTGAGGTACTTTTCCACCTTTTTATTTCTTTGTAAAATAGACTCATTCTCTCTTCCAAACTACTTAGACCCAGCTGGATGGGGGTGGCATGAATTTATACACCATACGATTTAATGATCTTTTTGCAACTTGCAATTGTTTCATGTATATTCCAAGACACTGTCTGAATTATTGTAAAAGTTATTTCAGCATTATTACTTACTGAAAAGGAGAATATCTGATCTACTATGTTATTTAATTAACAAGCAATCAGTTAACACTAAGCACCAAGTTTTATTTAAAGTTTGCTACTGTCCTCTCCTGAAGGACGGAGTCCACCCAGTCATCAGTGAGCTAGAATCGGTGCCTGATTCGATATTCACTTATTTGAAATTAAAACTCTGAAACTTCCTGTTACAGGCACAGCAAGCAAACCCCAAAAATAAGGGATTGACAATTACATGGTGGGAGGAAATGAGGCCTCAGTCTTTCTGAGCTTCGCCAAGGAGGATCAAGTCAGCCATTTCCAAGCACACCCCAGGGACACACAACTCAACACAACTCTTCCTCCTAGGAGGCTCACTTCCTTAATGCCTTAATCTGCATGACATCATATTGCAGGCATGTGCTAACAGGCAGACAAATACAAACACATGAGTGGAAGTAAGCCAAACAAAATGATTTACACTGTGCCTACAAAAATAACTATTTAAATACTTCTTATAAACAGCAAAAGACTAAATACACCATCATCTTTCCTGCTTTACAAATAAGCCCATCATTTTTCCTGATCAAATTCTTTCCTCAGGCTAATGCATTTGTGGTATTTTTTAAAAATAAGAATTGAATTATATTAAAAACAGAGTCCAAGGGTTTCATCCCCAGGGCAGACTCAGTGCCCACTGGCAGGTGCAAGCTGCAGGTGCCGTCCAGGTAAATATGCCTTCAAAGGGGACGTGTTTACTTCAGCACACGAGGAAACTAAGAATCAGCCTCAGTAACCAGTTCAATAGAATCAAAGAGACATACCTGTAGGTTTTCAATTTCCTCTTTGTGCTCCCTCTTCAAGTGTAAAATAGCAGCTTGATATTCTGCAAGATCACAAAAGAAGCCAATTACAAAGAAGCACAAAATGATACACAAAATTCCAAGTGAGCATCTCCAAGATTCCAGAGGTGCTTCTACAAGTAAACTTACTGAAACACATACACACAGACACACACACATCTGAGGAAATAAATGCCACAATTTGATATTCACTTGACAAGAGATGTTGCAAACTGAGACAAAACAGAACAAAGAGCTCAGGATAAAAGGAAGATTTCCTTCCATTTAGCAAACTTTGAATTATCATAAGCTTCAAATTAGGCAGATAGGAGAGGGTTAAAAAAAAAAAAAAGCTTGATGAGTGTTCCAGATAAAGACTGGGTCAGGGTTTGTCTTTAAGGAGGAGTTGGAAGCTAAGGCCCCACAGAGAACAAATACAGATGTGTTAAGAACAGACACACAGGAAATAAAACTTTCTATGTAAGATCAGAGAATTCAACTTTTAACTCCCCCATTCACTCCCCTCTCCATTTGAATGCAAGGCTAAGCAAGCACCCAAGGCTGATTTTAATCTTTAGATCAACTTCAGAAAGTCAAGACCATTTGTCATTTGGGTGAGAGAATAGAATGTAGGGTAAGTTGAAGTTGAAAGGAGGTCAAAAATAAAATCCTGGTCCAATTTTAGTCTGAGTCTAATAATGTTTATTCTAACAATAAGTCCCAAGTGTACACAGGAACTGCAGCCAACCACTAAAACGGCCATTCCCTGGCTAAGCATGAAGCAGCTATGACAACTTGATTCCCAGCAATACGGCTAAGTATGTGGGGTCACAGAACTATGCAGGCTGCAGAGAACCACAGAGCAAAATGCTGTGAGAAAACGTTTTTGTGGCATAAGCCAGTTTTTTACAAATGGGTGTTGGTTGTGAGTATGAATAAGAAAAATGTCAGTTAGATGTCATTTCAAGATGTGCCAAAAGACAGGCTATTTCTTCAAGTGAATTTCAGAATGAAAGGCTAGATTTCAGTTCCAAAGTTGATGCGGGAAATCTTTGGTAAAGCCATAACAAGAGGAATGTTGCTGTTGATAATTATGACTAGATACACCACTGCTCTTATGGGGAATGTGGTCCACTGAGCTGGGAATCCACCAGCAAATTTTGAGGTGTCTACATCCATACCATGTCCTGAATCAAACCACTTCTACCATCTCACAACCACCACTATGGTCCAAGCCACCAGCATCTTTTCCCTGGACCACTGAAGTAACCTGAAAAGGTTACCTGCTCTCTTACCACCACCAAAACTCATTCTCCTCACAGCAGCCTGAATGATCTGTTAAAGGCATGGACCAGATTACCACCCATCTCTGGGTTTCTGCTGCACACAGACTGAAATCCAAACTCCCCCCTACAGCCCATAAGGCCCTTTGGAACCTGATTCCTACATACCTCTTCCTGTGTTTTCCTTGCTCATCACACTCCAGGCACACTGGCTTTCTTACTATTCATTGAACTTATCAACTTCTTTTCTACTTCAAAATCTTTACTAATATTGGGGACAATAATAATGAATTATATTTATTGAGTACTAACAATGTACCAGGTGTTACCTAAGCACTTCACATGTATTAACTCATTTCATCCCCACAATAATCCTATGATGTGGGTACATTTTCCTCAGTAAAAAAGAAGAAACTAAGTAAGTTACAGAGCCAGAAGACACAGATAATTCAATGAGTGAATGTATAAACAAGCTGTGGTATATCGATAGAATGGAACACTCAGCAATAATAAGGAATGAACTATTAATACATACACCAACATAGATGAATCTCAGAAGCATTATGTAGAGTGAAGAAAGTCAGTCTCAGGAGACTAACTATTGTTTAATTCAATTTATATGACATTCTGGATGAGACAAAACCATAGAATGAAAACAGATCAGAGAAGAAGAAGTGGCTAGAGGTTAGAGATGAGAGAATGTTTGACTTCAAAGAGTCAGCACAGCACAGCTGGTGTGCCTTAGTGGTTGAGCATCAACACATGAACCAGGAGGTCACAGTTTCATTCCTAGTCAGGGCACAAGCCTGGGCTGCAGACTCGATCCCCAGCAGAGGTTGTGTAGGAGGCAGCCGATTGATAATTCTCTCCTATCATTGATGTTTCTTTCTCTCTCTCTCTCTCTCTCCTCTCCTCTCCTCTCCTCTCCTCTCCTCTCTCTCTCTCTCTCTCTCTCTCTCTCTCTCTCTCTCTCTCTCTCTCTCCCCTTTCTTCTCTCTGAAATAAGTATATCATATAAATATATCATATTTTTTTAAAATAGTCAGCCTGGTTGGCATGATTCAGTGGTTGAGCAACAACCTATGAACCAGGAGGTCACTGTTCAATTCCCAGTAAGGGCACATGCCCAGGTTGTGGGCTAGATCCCCAGTGTGGGGTGTGTAGGAGGCAGCCAATTGATGATTCTCTCTCATCGTTGATACTTCTATTTCTCTATCCCTCTCCTTTTCTCTCTGAAATCAATAAAAATCTATCTATCTATCTATTTATCTATCTATCTATCTATCTATCTATCTATCTATCTACCTACCTACCTATAATACCTACCTACCTACCTACCTAAAAGCTTATATGCAAATTGTCTCCTCGGGAGTTCAACCAGGAGACTGGGAGTTTAACGCTCGCTATGATGGCACTGACAACTAAGGGGGTGGTATGGAATGAAGGAAGGCCCTGGCAGGCAGCCAGCAGCTAGGAAAGGAAGGCCCTAGCCAGTAGCCAGAAGAAAAGTTGCAGCCAGTACCTGGAAGGCCCTGATTGGCCCTGATCGCTGGCCAGACTTAGGGACCCTATCCGTGCACAATTTTTCATGCCCCTGACCTCTAGTATGTATATATTTGTAAAAAGTCAGCACAAAAAGGGCCATTTGGGTGATCTGACTATTTTCTATACTGTCTATGATGGTGGTTACATGAATCTATATATGGGTTAAAAATTAGAGTACACCAAAAAGAAAAAAGAGAATTCTATAGTATATTAATTTTTTAAATCTATATCAAATATTATACTTATAAATATTTTTCCTAGAAGGTTCAGCATAACACAAAAATACATGTAATTATACTTTTATTCTTTGTTTTCCTAAGAGAACTACCAGGTGCAGTAGGACAAGAAAAAAGAAAACAAATATGCTCATGAACACATGGCATACACATGTATATATATGTACATATATAGGAAAATAAAAATTCCAAAATTCTCTAGATTTAATATGTGAGTTTAGTAGGGTTGCTTGATTTAAAATCCATATATAAAAATTCTTATACCAGCAAGAGTATGAAAAAATAAAATTTAAGATAACATTTACAGTGCCATTGCTTAGGACAACATACTTAGAAAGAACCTTAATAAAAATATGTAAGACCTGATGAGAAACCAGAAATGTTATATTAAAATATATTACAAAGGAAAATATAGACAGGTAGTGGGCAAGCCATTTTTGGTAAAACTCAATATTGTAAAGATGTTAATTTTCTCAAATTGATCTATGGATTCAGTGCAATCCCATTCAACATTTCTAATAGTTTTTGTGTGTGTTTTTTTAAAATTGAGGAGCTCAATCTAAATACCAGTTGAAGCACAGAAGTGAAAAAAAAAAAGAGCAAAAATAATCTTTAAAAAATAAATAAAAGGTAAGACCACCTAATACAAATTATTTTTTTAATATTTTATTGACTTTTTCACAGAGAGGAAGGAAGAGGAATAGAGAGTTAGAAGCATTGATGGGAGAGAAACATGGATTAGCTGCCTCCTGCACACCTCCTACTGGGAATGTGCCCACAACCAAGGTACATGCCCTTGACCAGAATTGAACCTGGAACCTTCAGTCAGCAGGCCAACACTTTATTCACTGAGCCAAACCAGTTAGGGCACAAATTATTTTTAATTATCACCACATAATTAAAGTGTTGTGGTACTGACCCAGGGATAACAAACACACTAAAAGAATAGACTAGAGAGCCCAGACATAAACCATGAATCTATGGTCGCTTGGTGTATGACAGAGTAGCATGGGAGATATTTGTTTACAATAATTATCTTATCATTAACTATGAGTTGGGAAAAATAAATATTTACATGGAAAAACATGAAACTGGACTCCAAATTTGTACCATATAATAATCTATTCTAAGTTAAGAGTTAAATTATAAAAAACAAAACCATCATTGTTTTAGAAGATAATATAGCATAATTTTTTAAAACCTCAGGCTAGATAAGAATTTTATTCAAACTGCATTACATATTAAGAAAAATAATAAATTTCACTACATTAAAATTAAGGACTTTTTTTCATAAAAATACACCATAAGAGAAAGAAAAGGCAAGCCACAGAGGAGAATGTACCAGAACTTGAAACAAATAATACTATAAATATATATATATATATATATATATATATATATATATATATATGTGTGTGTGTGTGTGTGTGTGTGTGTGTATGTGTGTGTATATGTGTGTGTGTGTATACACACACACATATATCAATAATTTCTACAAAATTATAGAAAATGTCAATAAGACATACAAATAATGTATAAATATATTAAAAGGTGCTTATTCTCATTAATATATTTAAGGCCCAAACTGAGTGTCAGTGAAGATGTGGAGCAATGGGAAATCTCATACACAAGTGCAAATTGGTACAATCCCTGTGGAAAAGGTTGGGCTTTTTCTAATAAATTGAAAAATACGCCTACTCCCTACCCAACAATCCTAATCCTAGGTACACATGAATGAAAAGCCACTATAAAAGAAAAGAAAATAATATTAACAAAAGTCAGGATAAGTGGTACCCAGGAGAAGAGAAATTGAGTTAGGTCATGATAGATTGAGCAAAGTGGTGTCACATAGGCATTCGACGAAAAGTTATCTTTTTAACCTCTGTGTTTTATGCCATTTTATGCATACTTACAATGTAAGAAATAAGATTGCTCTGGTTATTATCATATATCAAATAAAGAGTATTACATAGGCACAAC